GCAACCTCCCAAAAGCAGGTAGGGCATCCATTGACACTAAATGCCAAACTATTATCATCTCCATTTACTTAGCGACTTTGCAATGGCATTTGTCCCCTGAGAGGATCACTGGCCTTTAACTTACACTCCAAGGTACTTTACAGGCACACTTTCACAAATACACCAGGAATACTCTCCCAACAGTGTTTTCAGGCTTGATGAGCAGTTATATTTAGGTTGACATTGGCATGTTAAATATGCACAATGCCAGTTTATTGTACACAACCAACAAACTTCTCTCTCAAACCCAAAAAGGGTTGGCCCAAAAAGGTACTTTTCAACTGGCCAATCCCTTCCCCCTTTCCCGTCTCCCCACCCCCCCCAAAAACCAAACCAACATGCAGTTCATGTCAGCATCACAGTTCAGCTTTAACAGTCATACACATTCACTCGCCAACCAATTCATTCCTCAGGTCATCTAGTTGCTGGTTTCAGGTAACATACCGAATTCATTTTGTGATTCAAACACACTGTGTAGGATTCACTGCATCACTGATAAGAAATTCCATTCCTGTTCATACTTACGTAGACAAACTGGCAATTTAGGATGCCAGGTATTATCCTCTTGGCATTCAATCACATCACTTCCATTCATGACATAGCCAGGGAGACATTTAATAGCAACTCTGCTTCTATAAATATAGTTAGGTGAATATCCAGTTTCTGTTCTCCCATTTTGAACTGCTGGCTCTGGACACTTGACCACTGAAAGAAAGTAAACAGAACAGAAAGCTCTGAAAAATTTACTTACTTCCCTATATCCAAATGGCAATGTCCACCTTCTGACCTTTCTCCCTGCTCATGCTTAGTGCACTTCTTTAGTGCACGTGTGCAGGGGATGCGTCGCCAAGACAGCACAGAGCTCGCAGTGACAGGCAGCTTTCCTACATGGCCCTGCTTTTCTTGCCAGTAGTGGGTTGCACATGCCAGGCTGCAGAGGCCCCAGGGAAGGGCAGCAGGGCAGGAGCCCACAGCACACAGCCCCTTGCCTCACACACTGATTTGGCGGGCACAGGTCCCCCCTCCAAGTATGCACAGCGGCAAGGGGTCAGACCCCACACCTGAGCCAGTAGCAGGCAGGCAGCTGTGGGGCGGAGGAGCGGGTGGGGAGGCAGAGTCAGGATCTGCTCTGCTGCAGTAAGCCCTCGCCTCCTGCCAAGTGCAGGGGGGCTGCAAACCCGGGTCCCTAGCCCCACAGCCAAAGCAGTGGGGGCCCCCTCTGCCAGGGCTGGGGGAGCAGGAGCTGTGGGGTAGGGGGGTGAGGGGCACTAGCAGAGCCAGGAGGTTTTTCATTTTAATCATGGATTTGGGGATTTTTAGTCAGAGAATGTGTGATTTATTTATTTGTTTGTTTGTTTATAATCAGGGAAAACCAGGATCCCCGTTGATCACTAAACTGAAAAGCTTCTCACTGTAGAAAAATGAATACAAATAATAAGCAACATAAACTATAAAAATTAACCACCTTTGCATTGAGGAGCAGGTGCACTCCAAATTCCATTTTTTTCTGCATCAGAACTACAGTGAATAGTTTCTGCCC